GCTCTGTGTGTGCTCAGTCCTCATTCATGCCAACTGTATCCTGGGCTGCGTCAAAAGAAGTGTGACCAGCAGGTCGAGGGAGGTGATTCTTCTCCTCCACTCTCATGAAACCCAGCCTGGAATACTGTGTCCAGTTCTGAATCCCCCAGGACAGGAAGGACATGGAACTCTTGGAGCAAGTGCAGAGGACCATGAAGATAATCAGAGGACTGGAGAACTTCTCTTATGAAGACAGGCTGAGACAGTTGGTGTTGTTCAGCCTGAAGAAGAGAAGGCTCCAGGGAGACCTTGTAGCAGCCTTCCAGTACCTGAAAGGGGCCTACAGGAAAGCTGAGGAGGGACTTTTTATAAGAGCTTGTAGTGATGGGACAAGGGTGAATGACTTTAAACTGGAGGAGGGTAGATTTAGGTTATATATTAGGAAGGAATTATTTATTCTGAGGGTGGTGAGACACTGGAACAGGTTGCCCAGGGAAGTTGTGGATATCCCCTCCCTGGAAGTGTCCAAGGTGAGGTTGGATGGGGCTTTGAGCAACTTGGTCTAGTGGGAGGTGACCCTGCCCATGCAGGGAGTTTGGAACCAGGTGATCTTTAAGGTTCCTTCCAACACAAACCATTCTATAATTCTATGATCCCCACAAACTCACAGGATTTGTTAATCCATGCTGGCTCTTCACTGTTGCTGTCCTTCACTTCATGTGCAGTGAAATTTCCTGCTTGAAGACTTGTTCTATAGTTTTCCAAGAACGGAGGGAAAGCTATCTGACTGTCTTTTAGTTGCCTGTACCCTCTTCCTTACTTGTTTAAAAATATATTTTTTTCTCTTACTGCAGACCCAAAGAGGCAATCCTGCCTGATGACATCTGTGGGGAGACATTTGGTCAGAGGAATCACATATCATTGTGTAAATAATCAAGTCTGTCCTCTTCAACCCCCAAATATTCTGTTTCCTTGGGAGAATGGGGCCTTCATGGGGCACAGCTCTTCAATGTCCTCAGGTATGTCAATGTTGTCTATTAATCATGGGTCTTTCCTGAATACCCTATCCAGGCTTCTCTGTTTGCTTGCAAGCATATGCTCAGGTGTAGGCACAGGCTGAGTTTTGGAGTTGTTTATGAGAGTCTAAACATGTCTGGCACCTTTGCACAGGACAAAGATCTTGTTCACTGAAGCAGACTGGGTAGAGGAA